TATATATATTGCATATTTTTTATATATTTTTTGGGGGGGCGGTGGTCTGTATCGTGGATTTTCACCTTTCTCGGTTGAGTCTGGAACCTATACCACACAATAATCCATTATACATTCAAAACAAGTCGACTGAATGGTTGGATAAGGCATGAGTGAAGAGGTTGAGAAAAAAATCAAATCAAATCAAAGATGTGGGTGTTAAAAATGACATCAGCAGCAAATCAAAGCGCAAGACACTAAAACCCCTAATGTGCTGCGTGTTGAGACAAGAAGAAGTGAGGCCACACCTTGCAGAGACTGTCCAGTATCTGCAGTGCAGGGGTCAGCACGGTCTCCTCCCATCTCGCCACATCCGTCACATCCAGGCCATAGACAGCTGGCACGCCGTCTCCGGGTCCTACCCACAAACAGAGACGCACGCGGGTCAATCGAGCACACATTACGCACCCCCGCAAGGCCAACGGTGGTCAACCGGATTTATACCGCTCACATAAATATTCAGCATACTGATCAATTGTGCGGCGTAAAAATAAAAGCGCCAGTTCCATCCCCCAGAGAACACGTGTTTGATTATCAATTTGATGTGCCAGGAATATCAAACGTCGATTATTTGACACCCATTAGGTAACGAGCGAGGTGTTTCAAGGCAGCAGACACGGATTGGGCATATTATGGACAACATTTTCCGGCAGCAGCGATATTGTCGGAGCCGCGCCCTCGAGCTCTGTCAACCTGCTGACTCACACCGGCTCGATAATGTCTCCTCCTCCCACTCCCCTTCCTCCCTATCCCCCCCCGGGTCTTTCACTCATTCTCCAACAGTTCCACCCCTGTGTGACCATTCTGCGTCGGTCAGCAAGTCCCACGGCTGGGCTGGGCCGGGCCCTGGCGCAAAAGAGCACCGCCAAATCCCTGCACTGCTTGTCTGTCTGCATCCATAGACACTGCCTGTATTGACTTAAGACATGCAGATGCACGGGGGGGGGTGTCGCAGAAAGCCTGCAGTGAAGGTGACCTTTAAGTCCTGAAAACAGAGCACTTCCAAGCGGGATATTGTGCGTACAATGCAAAATATAAAGGCGGAAAGAGGAGACATTTGTATTTCATAATAAGCTAATTAGATGACAGCGCGCACACGCCAGTTAAATGAATTAACTTGTAATAGCCAACTTGATTACGGCCTAATCCGTTATACACCCACACAATGAAGTGCATGTTGCAAAACTGGCTTGGTCTGGTATGTGCTGGAAAGACTGTCATTCGGCTGCAACTGTAGTGAAACGGATTGTATTATGAACATGCAAAACAGTACTGGATGGGATAGACATCTAAAGAGAAGCATCAGTAAAGCAAGAAATTCAAGAATCAGAGAAAATGGTGCATATAGTGGGGCACACGTTTTAATAAGTGAAAATCCACACAATCGGGAGATCATATTTTTTTTTAAATTACTAACTTTGTCCCTAGTTTTAACCATACCGTGGAACATGGCAGAACCGACTGGAATGTTCCTTCAAGGGAAGAAAAAATACACTTCTACAGACAGGATGCGAAAGGAAACTGAGACACTGCATCAGAATTTGCGACTCCCCATACTGTATATTACACTATTACTTTTATTGAACCACAAAAACATGGCGTGATTGTCAGGGAAGAGACGGGTTGCCACCAAGATAGAAAGTGGACGAGAATGAAAGCGAGCATGAGGACATTTTGATATTTTGAGAGGCTACCATAACCTCGTGATGTCACACGGGAAACTGGAACATGACCAGTTTATCCCCCCCCCCCCCCCCCCCCCCAGCATATGAAAGCCCCTGTGCCTTTTTTGATTAGGCGCTAGATATGCAAAGCCGGGATTGGTGTGCGCCAGCTTGCCTCAAAACTGTCGGCCACTCATGAAAACTAGTTGCCAAACTTCCCATCTACCAAAATCGTGAGGATTTTTGGACGGCATGAATCTCAGCTCATATGCGTATCGCAACCAGTTAGTTGACCTGACAGTCAGCTCCTTCAACATGTTGCATTTCTTTTATTTGTACAATGGCTTGGCTGACATCGGCGTCAAAAGGCAAGAGGAGCCTCTTTATATAATGCACCGCTGCTGCTGCTTATACAGCCACACTGAAAGCTCTGACCAGAGCAATTGTTAACCAAAGCTTCAGGTTTCATTTAGTGTGGTTACTGTGTACAGATACAGAGAGGAAGCTTTTTTTTTTGTTGATGGTACAATAGGCAGGTGGCGGCATCACCTGGCGTACCTGCAACCAACCTCTCCCTCAGGGGCTGTATTAAATAGCGACATGGCAGGGTGACAAAGCTAGTGAATAAAAGCTTGCCACCTGCTAGATAGGACTCCGGTATAGTTTGGGCTTTGAAAATTAACTCTGAAAAGGATGGTGATAAGAAATCGGCAAACATTAAAAAAAAAAGAAGAAGAAAGTAACACGGGCGACGCCATGCAGCTGCTTGCCCGTGTTGAGACAGTAGTCCACCTGTTGCCACCGAGCGCACCAGCAGTCATTTGTCGAGTTGTTTGGAGAGAAAGCACAAAAAAAAAAAAAAAAAGAACCCAACAGCCAGCTGCGCCTCGCTGGCCATCATCCACGCCGCAGCACAACACATGCCTCTATTCACCGCCGCCTTCCTCTTTCCTTCTGTACCTCTTCCACTTTTTGTCCCTTCTTTCTCGTACAGGCGCAAGACAGACAAGAGGGTCAATCCCCGCTCAGAAAAAATATTTTTTTATTTTACTTCTTGGAATAATAAAGTGCCAAATGTAAATCAGTTGTAAAAAAGTGAACGAAAATGGGGAGCATCCTACATCCGGGAGTTCCCGCAGCAGCAGCTCAAGCGTGTGTGTAAAGCAACCGCAACTTTGCCTAAGAAAAGTCCACTTCGCTAAATGCTAACAAATAATGCTACGCCATTGACTTCCAAGTGGTCACGATCAGTAGTGTTGAGCACAAACGGTGGAGCAACACATGTAGACAGACATCATATTCACCGGTATATATTCTTTATCCTCGACAAAAAATGACTATTACAGCATCTTAGTGAGTCACTTAACCTAGTAGTAGGTAGAACCACTATATCTTAGTCGTTTGTGTCTGCATGACTGATATAGTGGCCAAGGTGGGCACACCAGAGGGAGCTGCGCAGTGAAGTGGGTTGCAGCACTAAATTAAGATTTAATTCTTTACATTCTAAGGAATGTTGTTGCTTTGTTTTTATTTAAAAAAAAGAAAAAAGAAAAAAGATGAATTGCTTTTCCAACTTTTGGCCGTTTGCGTACATGAATATGCAACGTCAACTGGATACGTTTACTTCCTCATCTGGTTTCCATGGCAACCTCTGAGCTTGAGCTCCACAGAAAATGGGCATGTGTGTACATGGAAGCTTCAAGGGTATATATTTGCCCCGCACCTGTTGTCACCACTGGGTCATATTACCGCCCCCCCTCCCCCCACACACACACATACACACCTCCCCCAACCAACCTACACCCAAGCTCTCCATCCACACAGCTGTCCATGTGCCACCTGTCTCCCTTTATGCAACGCAATTTTTTTTTTTTTTTACTTAATGCTCACATAACCCCAGGCCGCCACCCCTGCCTGCCAAAATACACCTGGGCTATGGTTACGGCAACATAGCGTGGGCGCGCAATTCCCTCTGGGATTGAAATAAAACAGGCGTCAAGTCACTGAGGCGTTCCTCCGAGTAATAATCCAATAAAGTCAGCTCAATTTTCTCATTCATTACCGATAATTAAGTCGACTAATCAAATGTACCACACACACGCACGCACGCACGTACGCAACGCATCAGGACAACCAAATAATCAGGACGCCACCAAAGCGTGCCATTACACCAAAGGCCCGAACTGGAAATAGAGGGTCAACAGGCATGTTGGTGTGAGTACGCGTGCGCGCACATGCGTGTGCATGGATTTCGGTTTTCTCAACATGTGTTTTGCGGCATCTTGTGTAACCCACTTTGAGGCGTTTGGTCCACCTCACATGCCTTTGACCCACTCGTTCATACATGCTCAGATTGGCCCGCCCGTCCCACCCTCCCCCCCGCAAACGCAAAAGTGTTACTTAATGCTCACATAACCCCAGGCCGCCACCCCTGCCTGCCAAAATACACCTGGGCTATGGTTACGGCAACATAGCGTGGGCGCGCAATTCCCTCTGGGATTGAAATAAAACAGGCGTCAAGTCACTGAGGCGTTCCTCCGAGTAATAATCCAATAAAGTCAGCTCAATTTTCTCATTCATTACCGATAATTAAGTCGACTAATCAAATGTACCACACACACGCACGCACGCACGTACGCAACGCATCAGGACAACCAAATAATCAGGACGCCACCAAAGCGTGCCATTACACCAAAGGCCCGAACTGGAAATAGAGGGTCAACAGGCATGTTGGTGTGAGTACGCGTGCGCGCACATGCGTGTGCATGGATTTCGGTTTTCTCAACATGTGTTTTGCGGCATCTTGTGTAACCCACTTTGAGGCGTTTGGTCCACCTCACATGCCTTTGACCCACTCGTTCATACATGCTCAGATTGGCCCGCCCGTCCCACCCTCCCCCCTGCTACTGAGCCGTTTCCCCGCGTCTGTGTGGTCAGGGGCAAATTCCCGGCAGCTTCGTAATGCTTCAAGAGATTAGCCTGCTCAGACGGCGTGCGTGGGTGTGCGTGTGCTGGGCTCAAAGGGAAAAGAGGTCAGTAGTCAGAGTAAGAATTGGACGGTGAAGGTGGGGAAACACGAGGAGGTGACAAATTGACGACCTCGAAAAAGTGACAGATTAACGTGAAACTGACCATTTAATTGCTTGAATTAAAAAACAGCTGGGTCTCTGGAGTACCTGCCCAGTGGAAGTGTGAAATTACGAAGCCAAGTACGGTAAATTGGGCGTATTTGTGGTTCATGGTTCACAAATTCACCTCATTCACATTCTCTTTTTGAAACGTACTACAATGTCACCAAATGCGGCCAAAATTCTGTCGAAGGAGAGCAGACCAGTAATTGTCAAGGAAGCATGTTGAAGTGATGGAGGAGGAGCCACGTTTGAGGCTTAGCAGTGAGTCTTCGCCACATAGGCGCGTCCATTCGGCATTGAAGTGGAAAAGCCACGTTCTAAGATGAGCTCAAAATGATATTAGAATGCTTTGGGATCATAGTTTGTGGAAGATTTACAATCGAAACTATTTATACAGGCAAGTGGTGGGAAGGGCATCAAACATTCGAGGTGATTCCTGTCAATCTTTCCGAGGTTATCTTGTTTTGAAATTCAGCCAAGTTGGATGATCATTCTTGTTTGAACTTAAGAAAAACCGATCATGTGGAAAAACGTGTCACCTTGGCTGGCTCCCCCATTAGTCGTCGCAGAAATATTTTACTCACGACCTCATATGTTGAGAGGTTCGGGATCATGAATGCAAAACATGCTTTTCCCAAAAAAGGCAAAGGCACGAGAGCGGTCTCTGCCTCCATCGCTCCATACCCGGCGGTCACATATCACATTTGAACTTAACTCGAAACTTCCACGTTGGAAGCAAAGGATTTGCTGCAGAAAGTTGATCTTATCCGTTAGCTGACCGGGTCGCGAGCGGTTCCCGCCAAGATTGGGCCGCCCTGCCGCAAAGAGCCACATGTGCAAGTTGCGAGTGCGTGGACAAGTTCAGACGGATTATGTACGTATGTCACACGCATGCGGTGGAAACCAGATGGTATATGCGGGCGCTATGAGGGAGGGCGAAAGGGAGGGCTATTGAGGTTGAGGTCCTGGAGTGGCTTAAGCCGTTTGGGTCTAACAGGATTAGGAGGCTGGGTTACTTTAGGGTAGGCGGCCAGTGGGACTCAGGAGCGCGCAGGTTCCTGCCTTAGACCGCAGGAACGTACACATTCTTTATGTATGCACGCTTGGGGGGAGAGAAGAAAAAAAGAAAACGACAGTAGAAGGCTGTGAGTGAATTAGGAGCACACACGCCAAACCGCCACTTGATTTTGGCCGAGGCGTGTTCGTTTTTCCAGTCTTTGGTGTCGCTGACTGTGGCGGCTAACCGAGCACGAAAGCCGGTTTCTGTGTCTTTGATGTCACAAGGGACCCGGTGCCGGGGAGAATAAGAAAAAAAGAAAAAAAAAAAAAGCTTCCAAAAGTGTAACCTGCAAGGACAGATTTGAAAACTGGAAAGACAGCCTTTGACAAACCTGCAAACGCATTTCAACAGCACCACACAGTGAACACACAGTTTCGGAAAGGAGACTCAAAGAAATCCTATTTTGTCGAATGTAAATGAGCCACTTCCCATCCCGCCAATATTAAGGCGAAAAAAAAAAAGAGGAACAATTAACTGTAATCGCCTCCAAATTATTGAAGGAAAGCTAGAAACAAAAAAATTATATTTATGCTTGAATACAACAGTGTTTCATTGAATTGAATTTATTTCCTATGGAAATTTTCCAATTCTGACTACAGTATTTCCACGATTCCATATCTTCACTTCCCATGGAAATTCACCAGCAAATTTAGCAGAAACTTTGCACCTCTATTCCCGACCATGAGAAACAGGAGCGGAGCAAGGGGGTTGCGACAAGGCTAGCGGCACTTCATCGCCCCAGAGTGATGAAATTGAAATGTTAAACGGTAAAAGCGTGAATTGTATTTTGTGTTTTCAATCGTGGATGCAACACTTCAGGCAACCCCGTTCTGTGCAATCCAATAAGGTGCAGCGATGTTTCGCTTTTGGCTTCGACGATGTTTCAGATGTGAATTCGTCAGATTGTTGCTTGACAGCGGTGGATCGTCACCCAGCCTAGCTGCCAAATCACGGACGGTATTACACGAATTTAACACTGTTATATGACAATTCGGCTGGCTCAAGACAGATTTTCTGCAATTGTTTTATACAATCAATTCCAAACACCAGTTTAGCATTTTTAGATTTTTTTTTTCCCTTAAGGTTTGTTTTGAGGTTCGAGACTATGGTCACAATTAATCTTATATTTTGCGGAGAAAAAAAAAATCTGTCACCTACCAGTGTTATGATATAATTAATTTTAGTTTAATCACTTTAATCACATAAATATAACTCAAAAGTTAATCCACCTCCACAAAACTAATTTCATGCTGTGTAAATATGACAATGCGTCCCAGCTATCGCTTAAACAAACATCATCAGCAAATAGGACTAGATATTTTTATTTAATCATATCCGGAGTCCAAAAGCAAACAGGGTGTAATCCATCGTCAAATACTACGAAAAACTGGTGGTAAATAACCACTCAGACATAGCCGCAAAACTTGCAGCGCTAATATGAATGAATGCACACGCGTGCTACTTTGGATAAATGACGAGTACTGCGGGCTGAGAGGCTTAGTGTGTCAATCTACACACGCGCGCTACTTTGGATAAATGACAAGAGTACTGCGGGCTGAGAGGCTTAGTGTGTCAATCTCACCTTGCGTCTCTCCAGCACACGTACACAGATAGGGAAGAAGAAAACTCACGTTTCAGGAAGCGGTTGCGGACCCATTTATTTTGCTTGCGAGCGTAGCGCCTCGTAGCAGTCTTCAAAGCTTCAACGCCTAAAAGTGAGATTGAGAGCAAGGCGGTTTCGTACTAAAGATGGAAGAGGAGTCCGGAAGGCATTGCACTCGTCAGAAATCGTAGACCTCTGTTTCGGAGTGTCTCTCTTTCCTGCTGGCTGCTGTTTTCAGGAGCTGTCAGGTAGTCGTGGAACTCTTTGAAACCAATCGACTGGAATATCCCGTGTTGGTAGTTCTGACTGTGAGAAAGAAAAGATAGCGCACATTAAAACCATCTCGGAAATCATTGAGTACACAGTTGCAAATATTGAGTGTGAAAGCAGAATCCGAGGGAGCAGAATGTTAAAAAAGAAAAATGTTTGTTTTCCAAAAGAAACCAAGCGTAAACCGAATCTGATGAGAAGTGAAACGCATGATGCTCAATTACTTTTTCGACGCTTCATTGAAATTTCAGTCATTCCATCGGGATGACACTTGGGCTGACATTTTGGCTTCTGACATCAATTTCCCAGAAACCGTCTAATACCAACAGGTGTCGTCAGGCTTATTTTGGAGTCTACATCAAACGATAAACAGACACGTGATCCTCAAATGAGCTTGTATTTACATCTGGACGTGACACACAACGTCCAACGTTATTTGTGACGGAATCACATTTTTAGGTGAGCAAAAACATAGTAACAGCTCGACTTGAAACAGAAATATATAGATGTGTAGAAGAGGGCGATTACTCCTTTCAATCGTCTCTTTTGCAGGTTGCGTGGTCGGCGGCGCACCAAACTTGAAAAAAATATTTTCCTTCCCTATGTGTTTTGTTTGGGTTAGCGTGTGCAGACCGGAACTTGTTCCCATGCCAACGACACACAGGCAGCATTTATTGTGAAAGAATGCAATGCAAGAACCTAATACATTCATTAGTTTTGTTGTGAATTTTTTTTTGTTTTTATACACGTAATTCACGCGGTCCAGTGCACGAGAATTGCACATAGGCGGTCATGTCACAGCGGCTGCAAGTAGAGGACGCGACTTGTGTGAATGTGTGCGCACGTGATTATAAATTTCATTCCGCTGAGTGCGTCAACGACCAAGTGAGTCGCGACACACAGGTATACTTTAAGTGCCTAGTTTGCATAAGCAAGTACTTGCCGCACCAGAATACACCATTAGAGGCCATTAAAGTGTTTTACCCTAGGTTAATTTGCAAAAGATAATTTGCAACCAGGACAAGAGTTTAGTGGTTTTAAGCGTGGAAGACTGACAGCCAGTCAGCCAGTCTAGAATCTCCCGTGTTCATCCATCTTCAAATATCTGACATCATTTGGGATCCTCGTGTAAGCGCACCCTTGAATGACAATCCATGTGTCATTTAAAAAATAAAAAATAAAAAAAGTCAAGAAGGTTGGACATAAAAGACGGTCAAGACAGCCATCACGACCTTTCTAGACAGTCATAATTTCACCTTCCTCTCTTCTCTGTCTCATTTATTGTGTGAGGTCCTTTGGGGGACACGGTGACATTAAAACACTGAGACACAGCGGCGCGGTGACCGACCACCGGCAAGCAGAAACCAGCTGCTTGTCCTCGCCAGACTACGCCCGGAACAATTTGGTCAAATCTTCTCCAATTTGCGTAGAACCGACGGTGTGAGCTCACTCTGTACCTTTTGCGATGAATGTCCGCAGATCCGTATTGAGCGACCTGACCTCTTTCAGAACTGCAAAAATAGCAGTATAATCTCATTTCTCCACAGAGGAAACAGTCGCTGGAAAAATGCAGTTTGATTGACCTCGTGATACTCGGGAACGGGGAAATGGGCAGAATAAATGGGCGGCCTGTGCAGGCCCGAGACAGAAATCCGAGAATAGCGACAGAGCACAGGAAATGTCGATTCAATGGAGGGTGAAAAGCAACGACGGAGGACAGGGGAGAGAGATTTGACCTTGATGTCTGGCGGTAGAAGCCAGCCGGGGGGATGGAGTCATGAGGGTAAAGGAGTCGCAGACAGGGGTGGAAGGGGAGGGGGGGAGTAAAGTGCTTGGCTGATCATATTGCTGATAGGGCGATGGTACAAGAGAAAGCGGTGGACTGAAAAGATGGGATGAGGCACGGGCAGCTTCCAGGGAAGTGCAACACCCATGCATTAACTCCTCGGAGCCACAGAACACATAATGAAGGGAAAGAAAACCAACCAGCAACCACCGGAATGCCCATAAGCCCCGGACACATTGCGAGCAAGCCCCATTGTATCTTTTGTCCAAAACTGAGCCACAGTGGACATTATGACCTGTCAAGACCGGCAAGGAGGGTCTAAATAAAGGCAGAATTGCTTGGCTCAGTTTGCCACGGCGCTGGTTTCAAGGAGAAGAAGAAATCCTTCCGTCGTGCCGGATCATTAATTTCCAGAAGGAGATGGGAATGTGATCTTGAACTTGATGCACCGGCACTGAACCCACTCGCCAACTTGGGAAACCTTTGGTTGCCTGACAAAAATCTAACAATACGCGTTGTAATATTATGCACCAACACGAACCCGCAAAACTTTCGTAGGATTTGGTACGAAAAGTAAACGATGTCTTTTCACCACCATAAGACGCACATAAATTCTCATAACGTGGGTCGCCTTGTGTTTGAAACGAGTTCCAAAATCTGTGAATGCTGCTGTGCGACTTCGATAAGGGGTCCACTTGACTGACGATGTTGTGCCGGCACGCTGCATAAGGCGGACATAACTGTGGACGGCATGCGGACGTTAAACCAGCCTCAGCAGCACTGATTCCCTCACCTGTCATTCTGCACTTTCTTCTGATTGAAGCGGACATGGAAGTCCCTGAGCTCCTCGATCAACCCGACCGACAGCATCTCATCGACGCGAGCGTCCAGACGCTCGTCCAGAGCTAGAGAACAAAGAAAGAATGAGGAGGGATAAAATAGGGCATGCCTCAAGCTGTGGCAGGGATCCATTCTTTCAACACCCCTTACCGTCCATGTCGGCGTGGAGCCAAAAGATGCAAGGGTCCTGGTACCTAAGCGGGCCCCCGAGGCCGTCACCGCCCTCCTGGCCTCGCTGTTCCTCCAGCCAGGAACTGTGAGGAATGCCCGTTTCGTGGTGGATCTGCAGGCTCCTGTCGAGCAATGTCGAGAGATGCAAAAAAACTGAGATGATGAACTCATTCGCCAAGGTAAGAAATATTAGCGCGATTCTTCGGCCGGCGTGCACTCGGTCAGCAACAAAAAACATGATTCCCGTCGCGGACAAGAGCGGGGCAACCTAACCTACATTAGTGCACAAAAGACTAGAGTGCACAAACTGCAACTCGTCAAATGAGCGTGTGTGCAAAAACTACGTCTCTCACTACCAGTGACGACTGAGCATTAGTCCTGTTATCATGTACTATGTGATACTTAATATCACGGTAAATAGTGGTCAAGGGATGTTTTTGGATGAATATAAAACAAATTTATCCAGCGCCTTACAGTATGCTCCATGGATATTAGTGGTACGGATTACCTGGCAATTTTGCGCTTGTCATTGGGGTGCAACATGGAGGCCATTTCGGGGTCCACTTCCATCAGTCGCCTGTGCAATTCCGCTCCCCCCAGTTTCTCCAGTTCCAACTTCCTGTCTGTGTCTCCATCATCGCCGTCACCCAAATCCTCCAGGTGAAGAGACACCACGGGAAAATATTTTTAAAAATTTTTGTTACCTTTAGATACGACTTTAAAAAAAAAAGGCAACTTCAAGATGAGGCGGAAGAGATTTGTCAAGCAAAAAGGCCAAAAAGAAAGCATACAAGTTGTATTGTGCTCACCCCAGCGTCGAGTAGGACTCGCCACAGCAGGGACTCAATGTAGTAGTTTGTTCCCCCAACAATGATCGGCAGTTTATTCCGGCGATGCATGTCATCTATGTCGGGTAACGTTAAGAAAACCAAACATTCGAGTCCTGTCCTGTGCCATCCTGTTCTATTTTCTAGTCATTGGATCCAGCACAAGGTTATTGTAGTAGCCGAAAACAAATTAAATAACGAAAATGAAAATTGTAGAAACATTCTCCTTCGCAAAATAAAATGCTTTCTAAATAAATAAATAGAGATGACATTTTACGATCTTAAAACCAACTGAAACAAACTATAACTACAGCAAAAACTCATCTTCCATTTCGTCTTTGCCAATCAAGATCAAACATCATTTTAAATGTATTTCGGTATTGCTGTACATTGAAAGGAAGGCAGTTCACTTCACAACACTTGATTTTTTTTTTTAATCTTGCACTTGACAAATACTCCATGTATTAAAAAAAAAAAAAAAACTAAAACAAATACATAAACTCATAAAAACTGAAATGAAGTATTTTGCAAAAAATAAAAACTAATAGAAAAAAATAAACGTACTTGAAAACAAAAATTAAAAAAAGTTAAAACAAAATAAAAACTAACTACAGTGAAAAATCCCAAATGATGATAACCCTGGTGCAGCACTGATTTTTGACTGATACAACCTAGTTCCCATCCTACAATGGCCACAAGATTTCTCCATCCACATCAATACAAGCCATACTCTGGTTCTCATCACACACCTTTCCTCTCCCGCTTTCTCAAGAAGATCTGAGAACACTCAAAAGCCGACACGGGCATCAGCTATCATCAACGCCGACCGACTCTTCTCCACACAAACGAGCAAGGCCGCGAGCTCAAGAGCGATAATGGAGCGGAACAGAAGGAAACGGCTTGTTGAATGACAGCTTGATAGATGTTGATGATATGTCAGTACGCCCACCGCTCAACACACGTGAGCCTCCATCCTTTCCACCTCACTCTTCATTCCTTGCCGCATGACGGGCGCACTTGTTTGTACCTCCTCTAATCTGTATTTACACCATTTGCCATTTCCCCGTTCCTCTCAGCAGGTTAGAGTCACTCAGAGGCTATTCTCGGAGCTGCCGCATCCCCCTCGTCACATCAGTGAGTGGGTGAGTAAGTGAAGAGTGACTGTGTGCACGCGCCCGTGTGCTTTTCTAATAATACCGTGTGTATTACAGCCTCCTCCCTTCACATCTGTGCGGCAAGCGGCTCCTGCGGATTGCGCGCACGATTCAAGACACTTTCCCCTTTTTGGTACAAGCGCCAAGCGTCCATCCAATTAGTAAGAGACGAATCGACTCGATTCCCCTCTTCGGAAGCGCTGATTAATCAAAGAGGTGACAGAGGTGGGAGCGGCGATGGCGCAACGGGGGAGGTAAGGCGGTCGGGAAGGATATTAGAGAAACGGCTTTGTTCCTGAAGTCCACCACCGTGTAGTTGCTAACCAACGGGTCCACAAAGCTGATCATGTGATGCCGACATTGGGCGCGCTCCTTGGCGGTCACCTTGTTTGTGATGATGTCCAGACCTTGGTACACCTAGAGGGGGCACATAAGAGAGGGGGGGGGGGCATTTAAATTAAAAAAAATAATAATAAAATTTCAATCCTATTGTGCAAACACACACACACGACTCCTTTCATAGTGAAATAAATGAAGAAAAATACTGTAAAATCCCGCTCCCAATTACAAGTTCAACTGTTGAGCTTGAACACATATTCAAGCTACATGCTAAATGCTCAATCTGGATCAGAATTCTGTTTGACTAAGTTTTGTGACTTTGCATACACAAATACAAAAAGCCTATTTCAACGATTTGACACGGAAAACACATGATCAACAATCAATGGCTTTAATGAGACACGTTAAAAGAATACAAGCGGCTGAGGAAGCCGTTTCATTCTTAGTCTCAATTTCTAACATCTTTCTATTTATTTATTTATTTATTTATTTATTTTTTAGGATAAATACATCATATAACGCGGCCAGCGTGCAGCAGTGCAAGGTGCGAGCGGCATGGGTGTTGTGTTACGCGGGCCCATGTAAAACCGCTCACCATGTGACACAACACACCACCTCTGTCCACTTGACATCACCCAGTCAGGTGGTTGGTGGGAGAGCCGCCGGGTGTGGGCGGGGGGTGGGGGGCTCCCTGCAGGTATGCGACAGCCGGGTGTCAAAGTCCATCTGGGCTTTTTCGCAAATTGGTGTGTTTTCTTGCCATAGGGAACTTGTTTGAACAGCTATGACATTCACCTCTTGCTTCTTTCATGCTTCTACTATTTCCTGGAACGCGGTGATGAAATAAAAAGAGTTGATACTGATGAACCTCGGAAGGCACGCTTGACTCTACACGCTAGAGTTTTTGTTTCAGCTGTGATGTAACCCAAGCGCTGTTGTAGTAGCGCACCGCACGGTGAAATCATCGGTACCCCCCCGCCCCCCACCCCAGCGGAGCATTTACGTCCCCCGCAAACACACGGGAAAAGAAGACGAGTCGCTACGAGTAGATCTCACTGCAGTTGTAGCTCGTGCATAATGAACGAGCGGCTGCGGTTTGGACTTCTGTTTCCTCACCAAGGTGTCGGGGCTGCAGCGTAGACACTTTGATGGGTGTTTCTTAAACCACTGAACCCAAGGAATGGCCCGCTGCAACTCCCTAGCCTGGATTTACACGACACATCCATGTGCCTGATTTTGATTTGTTGCTTATATCGGATTTGCGCGCCCCTGGCCATTGCTAACAGCCAATCGCAATCCAGCATTAACTTGCATCTACTTCCACTGGAAAAAAAATAGATCGACATATTTTTTTTCTTGACAAAGTCCCTGCTCCTGAAAATGATCACTTTTGTCACAAATTGATCCTTAATAAATTAACATTTTAAACGAACCATCAACCAACCTGGGGTCAAAAGTTTCGAGCGTGCCCATTCATCTCTTGACAAATTAAGAAAATGGATTAATCGCCCAGTCCTATCAATACCGGTAATTAGTAATTCAGGTGTTCTTGAAGCTGAGAAGGAAACACAGAAAGAGGAGATGTAGGCAAAGATATGTTGACTCCTCATTAAATATTAATTCCAAAAGTCTTCACTGGCCAAGACGGGAGTCGTCAACTGGCGGCTGTTAATTACCGTTGATCATCCTAAAGACACAACACAAATTGTGACGGCATCACATTCTCAACGTGCAGTTTTGTCTTTTCATCCAATTGTGTTTGCTTGTAAATCTTTGATTTGATCTATTTTTTTTTTTTTTTGCAGGGAGTGCTTCCTATCTGGTAGTTGCAAATGACACAGGAATGGCGCCGGGCGGGAGTTTTTTTTTTTTTAAAAGAAACAAACATGTTCAACTGCTGTCACCCAAAAAAAAAAAAAAAAAAACACCCGAGGTGGTGCTCAGGAAGATGCGTTTATCAGCCAATACAAAGATTTTCACCCCTCGATCAAGTTTATTGAACGCTGCTGTATTTAGACAATCATGTTTTGCTCTATTCACAGGTCATTTAGTGCACCTCGATGACGACAATTCCTATTCCAACTCATTTCAGAACTTTTAAAACCCTTTTGTAATGGTTTGCGAGTTGTGATGCTCACGGGTCACATTCATTCACGGAAAAAGATTTGAAATGATATATTTTGAATGCCATTTTTTCCCCCAAATCATAAAAAAACTAGGTGTGTAGACTCTATATGCAATCTATGTCTGTGCGTGTATTCTTCAGTGAGTGTGCAGCATGATGGGGCAGAGCAACCCAACATGATCAATTATTCACCGATTCACTGCACGACACCACTGTCGGCCGCAGGAGGAGTGGATGGATGCACGGATGAATGCATGGATGGATGAAGGGATGTCTGATGCGCCATTCACTTTTTCCAAAAGGCGAAGAAAGTTGGCCGGGAGAAGATGAAGAAAAATGGCAACGACAAAAAAAAAAAAAAGCCGCAAGAGCGGCTCGAGGAACGCCGTGTTCTTGTGACTGAGAACAGGATGCCTCCCATCCATTTTCACACGTTATCCATCAGCACCCCTCCTTTCCCTTCACTCACCATCTTTTCTGACACACACACACACACACACACACACACGCACACACAGACGGCAAGATTTCTGCATCTTTTTGCAAGCCATCTTAAAAATGAGAATTCCCGACTTTAAAGGGGGACGTCTCAACTCTTGTGGTTTGTATACAAATATGCGTCTGCAAGCCATTCTGAAGGGAAGTGAAATTGATGTAGCTAATTTATAACACAGCGCCCCACACACTGAGCTTCTCTGCTCGTGACTTGAACGCTAGGCTGTCCAAAGAGCCACAATTTCATTTTCAAGTGAAATAACAAAGGATGAGTCGAGCCACTGCGATAGCACGGGATTAGCTTTACCTTTCTCCTTCATACTCTCGGCTGGAGTTGGCCACGAAGGTCGTTCAAACCCATTAGCTCTACCCCTGGTCGTCACGACGACAAAACCGGAACTCCGCATCGGCCCGGCAGAAGGATTGGGCGAGGTGAGCAGTGGCTCATTTGCTTGAGACAGCGCGACCCCCTGCAAACAGGTTGACTTCAGCGAGGCTAAAACAAAAGCTGTAAATTGTTTTGGGTTTTTTTTTTTGTTTTTCCCTTATGAAGACTTTGTGAATTAAAACATTCGGGGAGTGATTTTGAAGTTTGAGGAAGAAGCCATACAGCTTCTTAAATGTCAGTCAAATGGAGGACCGGCTGACCTCCTTCGCCGCTCCATGCACGCGAAAGCCTGGATGAGATAAGACAATGAGCCGAGTGTCCGGGAGCGCCTGCAGTGGGCCGGCATCGGCCAGCCGTACGCGCCGCACGAAACAGCTGTTGCTTTGGCACACGGAGGAGGAGAGCGTGGCGAGAAGGCGGAGGAGGAAGAGGGAGAGAGCGGCGAGGACAAACATCCATTGAGAAAATGAAAACAGCGTTCAGGATGAAACCGCAAGAGGATGGAGGAGGAGGCGGAGCCGGTGGGCTTCACAGCACTACAGTTGGTTGCATAGCGCAAGCTAATGATGATGCCAAAGATATTATCTCCCTTCCTGTGCTTTACAATAAGAGTGCTGGGGGCAGATGCGACTTAAATGTCAGCAGACACCCTTTTGTGCCAGACTTTGCTTTTTTTTTTTCCTTCCTCTTATCAAAAATCACCTCCAAAGAACCTATTTACTACGAAAGGCCTGTTTAATCGGCCGTACGGTTTTTTTAAAACGACACCAAAAAGCATGCGAAATTCAGTTCAGTTCCTCCGGTGGACGTAACACAAATTTGCGTGAAGTGAGAAAGCGCAGTCGTAATTAAGAGTAAATATTTGTAGATAAAACGCTTCTGGGCCAGAGATGTAAAACAATATGCTAAAATCTGCTTCATAAGCGGTGTCGTCGTAAAATGTCTCTAAAGTCAAGTGCCAACACGAGTAAGCGGAACATCTTTCAGCCTACAGACCCTATCTCAAATTAAGAGGTTGTGAAATTCCAAATTCTGTGTTCTGGTCTTTTCCTTTCATTTTATTTCATTTCAAACCACTCTGCAAAATTTGAAGAAAACGTGAGCGGTGATTGGAAAAATTTCGGTTTATTTTACATGCAATGACCTTTAAGCGGTCCTTTAAACAAAAGCTAGTGGCCGCTCTGGTTCTAATGTTCTAATGTTTGCATCTTACACCTCAAGTACATGATTACCCCCCCCCCCACACCCCTTTCCCTCAAAGCACCACCCTTCAACAATTTAATCCTTCCATCTCCTCTCTCTTACTCTCTGTGGGGAATGGCCCAGTAATGCCAGACTAATAAATCATTCATGCCGTCCTGCCTCCTCCTCCATCCATCCCGCCACACATCCACTTCTCCCTCACTGCGCTGCTGTAGCATCAGCCGCCGCGCCCTGGCGCTGCCTTTGCCGCTCAATGAAAGCGCACGAGCGTGGCCGACGGAAATGGGGAGTTAATCAGCCCTGTGTTTTCGCTCCGTTCCCACACGGGCTCCGATAATTCATCAGAAAATGTGATGTCGGCGGAGGCGGCGTCTGAATTTCAATTTCACGGCTGCGTCACGAGCCCAGACAGGTCGTAGTCACAGTAGACGTGATGGTGGGAGTGGAAAAGTGAGCGTGAACTGGAGGATGCGTTTCATACGTCGATAAGCAGCCGGTCTACGTGTGAGCACGGCCTCCGCAGTGGAAGGACACTCAACGCAACCAGTTGCTCCTCTAGTTGTGTCCGGCAAAGTGAGAATTTCGTTTTTGCTTCGTAGTTGGCTGTCGTTCCAACACGCTGTTCAACCAGACACACAAAGTATAGCAATCGTTAATATTGAACAAGTTTAAAATTTACGATTGTCAGCCCAGACCGTGCCACACCTCCGCTTCGGGGTGTTGGAAATTTTACAGTCTAAGCTATGTTTATGAACGGCAACAACTCCAGCTCTCAAGAGATTTCTTTGCCATGAGGTGCCACGTTGAACTTATCCGTGATCAGTATGAGCGAGTGTTAGAGAGATAACACCAAAATGAACACACCTGGCCCCCCATTCACAATGTGGAACTCACCTTTCCCCTCCCCTCTCTGCTCACCGAAAAGGGATTTACAAAAAGAGCTCATTACCGGTGACGGTGAGTGTTAGCCGTTGTTGAAAATGTGACTTTTTAAAACCACAGTAAACTGGCAATCAGCCCATGCTGAGATCTGCTGCTACGCAAAACAGCTGGTGTGTGTGTGTTTGTGTCAGCGCCTCCGGATCGTAGCTAAAAACATGGCCAGCCGTTCCGCGTGCTAATTTAAAGCTTTGCAAGCCAACTGATTACATGAGGCGGCTGTGCTGCTGCATGTTTCTCACACATTCAACACACGGTGACAAATAGACCTCTTTTGTCACTAAGCTCACACAGAAAGCAACGCAGCCGCTCTTACGTCCAAGCATGCGTAAAGTGAATGCTCAGCGCCCACCAGTGCATCCCCCGCCCTAAAGGCCCTTGGACACACGCATGACCTGTTCGGTTGACCTGTTGGACCCTCGAGAGGACGGCGCCCTGCCCACACACACAGAAATACTGCCCCCTGCCAAGAAGAGACATTTATTTTTGGATGACAATATGTTATTAGTTAACAAATCACACACATCACCGCATGCTATGAATGACAATGAACTTTTTTTGTTAATTTTAGGCAGGCTTGAGGAAGGTTGAGTTATGCCACCAGCTCCTTTGTGCGCGGTTGACCAGTGTCTGGTGTTGATAATGACAATTGTCCTGGGCGTATTCTCTCTCTTGCCCAAAAGTCAGCTGGGATGGTCTTCAACTCACATGTGACCTTAACACGTCGACAAAAAATGGACGACTGAATGGGCCCACACTAAAACTGCACGGAAAAAAATGGTGCGTGTCCACCAAACCAGCGTATCGTTGTAGTACCAATATTGACCTGTGAGAGGCAGTATGGTGCTACCAGGCATGCAGACTGAAGGAAAATACAAAAGAATAAATGCTCGAGGTTAGAAAGGGAGAAATATTTGAACGATTGGGCCTTTGCTGTGTTTGATCAAGACGGGGAAAAATGCGCAAATCAGGCTAGATTCTGGGAATGCGTGAGCCTGCTTAACCATATTTTACCCAAGAAGGGCCAGACACGAGAAACGCCTCTCAATATGATGCAGTGCAGTTGTACAACACCGATACCTTAAAATAAGCAATCCAACTTTGCATTCCAGACATGATGATCCAGCATTAGAACGGTGTTGACAGTGCCTGTTATTGCAGCTGTGATGTTTACTTGGGCTGGACTTACACTGCATGGTTCAAGTGACCCAATTCTGATGTTTTGCCTCTCCTGTCTGTCAGTTGTGTTATGTGTCACTGCAGCGTCAAAAGAATTTATTACAATGAAAAAAATCCTGCAATCTGATATCTTTTGATCTGAATCAAGCCTCTGCCAATTGTGGACTGAACAGCTGATACATATGGGTGAAGGGTGAACGTGGAAGTCAGATTCAAACTGCCGGAACACCACAATCACATGAAGAAAAGCACATCGGCTGTAAATCTTAACTACAGTGAAAGCATAGCAGTATCTGTGAGTGTGTCGGGATCTAAGAGGCGGAGCCTGCTCTGGTGAGTGACATGGATGTCAGCAAAAGAGTACAGCTGGCTAGCGTCTGCATGTTGAGTGACTGAATTGTGGTGATCAGCGACTGGTGTATAAATGTGTTTATTATATGTTTGCCATTTGTTTAATAAAAGTGCTCCATCAACTGCGTCAGTACTTGACGACTTGCGGGGGTTATTACCATTATGTTCCAACAAGCGACAGTAGGCTTCTGCCGTATTAAATTCACTAACAAGAAGTTTCTTTCTCCGGTTTCTGCGAATCCACACTGACTTTGGAACAGAGATGCTCCTTTAACAAGAGCACAAACAAACAGCCTCTTTGAAGACCTTGTCACGGAGTGAGCTACACAAAAATGGGCCTCATTTAGCGGCACAGTTCATGTACTGCACTAGTAACCCAGTTCCATTCTGAGGGCTGCGTGCAGTTTGATGAATGACCGGCTAATTTAGGCCTCCTCTAACTTCCTCCGTATCAGCTGATGGGTGCCGATCGCGTTCCCCAACTCAGCATAGCGGCTCCATATTTCTGACTCTAAAAGACCCCACTAGGGTCCCCGAGCCCCCACTTCAGGAATCACTCGATTTATTGATCGTACAGCGAAACATTGAGCACATATGAGTGCCATGGATAGCATGTTCATTTAATGAGGGAATAATATCTCCCTGCGTGTTCAATGAAGTGTGAGTAGAGGGGGCACAAAGAGGGGCGTGATTGGAGCACAATAGGAGTGTTAGGGACTGTGGGAACCGATTCTATCCAGGACAATGGGCACTTCCCAGCGGCCATTCACCATCAGCCGCCGGGTCGGCGTAGCGCGGCGCTGAATATGCACCAGCTCAGCACAATACCGCTTTCTCCCAAACAAGACTAGACTGTTTCCTATCTCAAAGACAACACGGGCTAGCTCGAACCCGCACACAGTCCTCATTCTCACATTAACAGTCTCAGTCTCTCCCGTCACGTCCGCCTGGCGTTTTTTTTTTTCCGCCTTCTCTCGGGCCGCTGCGCGTCCTAACGGGAGGGTGGCAACAAGGCCGGGGATTGTGGAGCGAGGCGCGCCAACTAACTAGGCCACTGCTTTTTCTCTCTTGCAAGAGCCAGTGGTCTTTGGAGATATTCCGGGCAGCAGAGATGTTATTAGCGTAACCCAGTTAACTCAATAGCAGGTGACTCCCACTGTCAAGGACAACACAAAAACAGCAGGAGTGCAGGGTTAAAAATAAGTCAGCGATTATGAGGCTAATGACAATTATGGGTGTCGGAGCACGTGCGATGGAGACGCGAGCTGAACCCGTCATGTTGCTGCATTTGTGCCGGCCCAGTGTTGCCATGGCGATGGAGCCTGACAACCAAACAGAGAGGACGAGCTGAAGAGAATGGAGAATAGCGCTCGAGAACTCGCCGGGGATGCTTCTTATCTCCAAAAACACACGCAGAAACAAACAAAGACGCGCACACAGACACACACCACGCGTAGCACCATTTTGATCATCCACACAGGTATTTTTTTTTCTGTGAAGTCGTCACACTCGTTGCCACTTTGCTTTCAAATATACTTTGACGATTTTACTATACATTTCCGAAAAGCAAAGGCATGGTGCTGCCCCCTCAATTTTTTTTTCTGCGAAATAAGACGTGTTAGAAGAGAAACGTTCATCTGTTTGAAAAACGTTCCACAGTACAACACTTTGGCAGTCATAATGTTAAAAAAAAAAAAAAAAAAAAAAAAAAGGTTTAAATCAACAATTTTAGGTTTGACTTCCAGTTGTTTTGGATACAACGCAATGGCTTTGATGTGGGGGAAAAAAAGATCCCAATGACTTCAATGCTGGCAAACAGAAGAAGACTAAGTCAGGTTGCCACGGTATCGGTATATATGCAATCAAAAGTCAATTAGCCATAATGCGTCAACTTTAAAATAAATGGCATAATTCGTGTCATCATAAAGTCAAGTCAAGTACAACTTTATTATCAAATGAAAATGCATTTGAACAAATTAAAGGCCTCTATTCAGATAAATAATTACCTCTGAAAGGCACTCTACACTCTACAGTTGAGCAACTAAACAGACCCAGGCCACTAAATGAGGAAATAACGAACAGAAACTGACTGATGATTCAATACTATAAAAAAAAAAGCTTCCCTTTAAACAACCTGCCTTTGGATGGACTTTTGGTTCTCTGGCTCTTGTCGCCATAAATGTCAATATACAGGTGCACACCAAATGTCAGGAGCTGCTGGTTAGAGATGCAAATTAGAACAAGTCAAAAAGTTCACAGTTAAGAGGGACGTGGCCTTCATTTTCATAGACCATATTCATGATGCTCTGGTTACCACGGTAACATCGCTGTCTCCACTAAAAGAGCAAGCGCCACTCTATTTTGCCCTTGCCTGTTGTGGCATAAAACATAAACATAACACACGTCTATTGTGTACATATGCTGCTGTTGAAAATACAACCTGACCTGAACTCCCACCACTGCCAATATTGGTCCACACCACCCTGCTTTCTCCAGGGTGATAACATTGTGACATGGATCCTATTTTGGCTAGCCCATCTGCGGCAACTTGTGTTAGCAGCAGCAGCTTCAAACTGCATTTTTTTAAAAGGTGGTGTCAATCAATATTGTTAAATGGAACAGTCCACTACGGCAATGACTTATGCTTACATGAATGGACTAATAATGACACTTACTCACCTTCGTGAGAAGTGAAGCCATCAGCAGCCATCTTGCGTTGCCATTGCTAACCAGGCTGCACTTGAATGAAACGAATTTTCCGCCCTATTTTCTGTCTCTACACGGAAAATGCCACTTTTCATCTGTAAGAATGGAATTATAAATTATTCTCTTATACGGTATCTTCGAGTACTACTCAAAGATTTGTCTCCATCATCTTTGGCACCGTCCGTCCATTCGTCACGTTTGACGTCACTCAGAAAGTAGCCCACACTTGAGGGGCCTGCCACAAAAAAAAAAAAAAAAAAGCGTCTCGATTTTTTCCCCCCACTTCACGTTAATCTTTGTGGTATAAGTCAATTGAATAGCGTACCTAATACTTTGGGCGAAGTTATTTTAAAATTAATTTCGAGGCGCATTCAGGACAAGCGTTGACGTAGGATCGTTTTTTTTTTGTTTGTTTTGAATGACCCAGCAGCATTAAACATTTTACCATGACCAGGAGCGCAAATTCAAACAAAAGTTCGAAATACATTTATTTAGTGTAAGTAAAAGTCATTTTCTGAGCCTCGTTATCTTTTTTAATAGCTTGACTTCAGCCCCTCACTCCAAATTTCGTCATCTCCCGCGTTGTCACGCTTCATACCTGCATGGAATCGGCGCTGATTATCTCTCCCCGGAGTCGTTTTCCGATCTCAATGGCCAACTTTGATTTCCCGGTGCCGGTGGCTCCTAGAATGACCACCAAAGACGGCGACAATGCTCTCCTCAAGCCACACTTAATGCTAAGCGTGGACGCCGCCATGTTGCCTTTCTCAAGCCAGGCTGGCGCCCTTGAACGCGCATGCGTGGCCTGTATCGGAGAGAAGGCGGGGTTTCTGTTGCCGCGCAACTGGCAGCCGTTGCCACGGTAACGGATCATTTGAAGTCGTGAGCATTTCAAGTTTTATTGGTCCCACAATGTGGAATTTGCAAACAATTATCGAAAGATCGGCCAAGTATAATTTAATTAAATAGTTTGGTCTCATTTAATAAGTGATCAATTTATTGTGAATAAATTACAAAACCTGTAAAAAAAATTACACATGAAATAAGACAAAAAGTTCCGAAACATGATGTCAAACAATTAAATTTATTGATTTTCTGACTCTTCATACATATAGGCTTATGAGGTACAGAAAAAAAAGTGCTGAAACAAGGCTCCATAAATCGCCAACGGCGAATGTATTAGAAACGTCTGGCAACAGATAAAAATCGAACATTTAAATAAGCGATGAGGCCTCAGACAAGAAAACGAGGAGCAACTGGTGGTTTGCACTGAACTGATGAGCGCAGCACTGTGGAAAAGCTGTGAATCATTGATTCGGGGGGCTGGGGGGGGGGCTCCTGAGGTTGTTACATACAGCGGGATAAAGCTATTCCTGAGTGCTGGCGGGGACACAACATGCTACTCGGAGATATTTTAAGTTAAGTTGCTTCTTTAGTGCGGGGAGCAGCGAGCATGCAAAAAGCAATAACAATAGGATCATTAAGAGGCTTCCTTCCCCACCAAGATGGTGCTACAGCTCCGGGGGCTTTTAATCACACTAATACGTGTCCACAGTCAGCACACAACCACCAGGAAGGCCCCTGTCAGCTACGTTAACAAAAACCAGCTCAAACTGAACACCGCACTGTAGGAAAATAGAGTATCAAACTTTGGTGTTTAGTGACCTTTTTTTTTTGAGCTCAAGACACAAAACGCAAACAAGGAGGCATTGCTGTGTGACAAAGTGATCCATGTTCAATGCTCTGTTTTATTATTTCCTTTTATTAACAAAAATAGAAGCTTTGAGTTATCGTTGGAAAAAAAAACGCCAGTAAGCTTTAAGATGCAAATTGATGGAGAGAAAGAAAACAAAAAACAGAATGAGTGGAATACACAGCTCTGGTTTGGTTCGGAAGGGACTGTACAGAAATGGGTTACTATGTACACATAACGGGATGGCATGCAAATTTCGAAAGGCTTCTTCTGGAGGCGTCCATGGCTGACAAAAGAAACATTTACAAATAGAATTAGACAGCGAGGAAGGGAGAAAAAAAATAATAAAAATCGAGATATACAATGGGTTTCATTTCCCCAAAATGGATAACGATCCAACTAAACGAAGCCATTCTCATAGGAATTTCTTTTGGTTGCTATACTGAAGCCGACATTCACCTTTTGGCCTGCTTCCCATGGCACAATAATTATATATAGTTGAACTGATTGTAGTTGGG